TTAAATTTTGTTATAAACTGACTTCAACGAACTGGGGCACCACCTTGATCAAAAAAACAGAAAAGCTGGGCAGATGCTCTTGGTCAACCAACCCCCGAAGAAGCTCGCATTTTTCATCGTAAAAATGATGATAAACATTGATCAACTGATACTTAAATTCTGCGGTACCCTATTTTCACACATAGCAATTTATCATCATTTATGCAAATATTATATCATCATGATCATCTGTCCAGTCGTTATGCATTTCTGGGCTGCTCTGTTGCCATTTCACCACTTTCCCCTTCCCCTTCCCGCGTCACGTTTCGCTGGAGTTGGCGACGGATTTCTTGAACTTCAGCAGCAGGGGAAATGACCGTCCTAGCTAGTCGTGCATGTGCCGCACCCAGGAAGCGTCAATGGGGGTATAATCCATACACAAATGCTCCATGTATGGAGTATTTACTTCCATTTATCCCAAGAATGGCTCAATTGTAGGTAAAGATTCATGAAATAAACATCAATCTGTAGCATTTGTTAAAAAAACTGTGCCACTAAAGAGAGCCACAAAACATTCCATATAGATCAAAATTATGGGATATTAATAAGGTCTTTGGCAATTTCCCGTTTTTTTGTTAAAGCGCTGGGTCTATTTTAAGTTGTCAACCAACTTACTGATTAGATTGATTTAGATTGCCATTGGTGGAATCCTCCATGATTGCAAACCACTTGGCCAGCTGGTTGTTGGGTTAGCTAACATTGATATAATAAATAAGAAAAGATATGATAAGATAAGATTAGATTAGATAGACAATCAGATTAAACATGTCAAAAAAATAGAACATTTGGACACTTGGAAATTAAAGGTAAAGCATTGTCCAATGCCATGATGGTCAATACGTTTCTATCTTTCTTAGAGGTTCACTATGTGTCTAATTATAATATTCACTATATTCACTATATTCACTATGTTTATCATTATTATGTCTAATTATAATATTCACTATGTGTCTAATTATTTGTATAATTATAATATATGTTTATCATTGTTTATACATCATTATGTTATGACAGTTATAGAATATGTTAGCCACCCGGCTCCCCGGGCTCCCCGCGCTCGGTTTCTCCCCTCCTGGTGGTCAATCGGTCGATCAACCTCGCACTTGGTGGTTCGATGTTCAATGCACAGCTGAGCCGACTTGAACGAGGCATGGCGCGAGAATTCACTGCGCTAGTGGTGCCGGAAGCGAACCCAAATGCAAAATCTGCGAGGTCGTGGATGAGCCATAAATATCCATAAATGAGGAACACGGCATCAGATTTGGATTGCAATCTGCGAGGTCATACCTGATTTGGATCATTGAAACCTGTGCTTTGGTCTTCCCAAATACCAGCTGGGCTTAATTGTTGATATAGTTGGAATCTCAACATGTCCTCGAAAATTCTTTGTTGCCAAAATGCTATTTGAGTTTGCGGATTCAATCAACCAAATTTATATGTCCAGGATATTATCATTTCTATCCATTTCTAGGGATACTGCAATGGGACACCAGGACGTTTCTTTGTCAAATCCCTGGCCCGAATTGTGTTGCTGCCATGCCACAGGCGCAGGGGGCCTGATGGCGGACCAGCAAAACATGTGGTTTATGCATAAAAATTTTGAGATTTTAGATGCCAAAATAGCCTGGGGTAAACTAACATGATATAGGATCTAAACATCATTTTGGGCTTCTAAATATCAAAATACCATGAAATAAACTGATTTAGATGTGGAAAACCGATCTTTTCTTTCGGACAATGATCTACAAATGGTATAGTTTCCCACATCTAACATGGTCCAATCATCGAAACTGGTGCTTTCACAATCAAACATGAGGGTTTAACCGTCAAACCCGGGGATTTAACTACAAGCTGGAACCTGGAACACATTTAATAACAGCGCAATGCTGGTTGCTATCTAGCTATCAAACAAGCGGAGTCATCCCGGTAAAAAAGGGGAGACATGTGTGACCACATTTTAAGCCACAGGCATATCAAGCATGAACAACTTTGGCCAAATACTTCTCAAGAAGTGAAGAGAAACCAACCCATGTGTGGATGTGTCAACATGTGTGGAGATTCATAACCAACGAACAAATCCTTTCGTACCAGATGGTAACCCCAATCAACATCCTACAGTGAGAGCTACTTTGGTAACTTCCCTGTCCTCTTGAAAACCAGTATGGCCACAATACATCACAATACACGATGTTCTCCTATTCCAAACACGGCCAATCTTAGAGCCCTGGGTGGTTCTTTCGGCTTGCTGCCACCCAATCCTCCCAAACTTCCGCGCCAAAAACAAAAACATGTTCAAGTCTCAAAATAACCATGGTTTCCAGAGTTTTTCATGGCATTTCATGGCACATTTGGTCAAGTCACCGCCCTTGTACCCCTTTCACATCAAAATCGCTGGGATTTATGGATGTTCATCATGTTCATCCCCCTAAAAATTGCTACTAATTGCTATTGATCCATAGCCAAATCTTCGCATCTTTGCCACCCACAGATCTGGGACCCGTAAAATTCAATCGCCTCCAAGGCTGCACTGCCATCGGCCCATGGCAAGTGATGTAGATGCACTTGCAGATAATATGTATATATTATATATATATATTATCCATATATAAATATATTATATTATATATATACAATACATACATACATACATATATATATATATATGTATATATATGTATATATATATGCGCCACGGTCAATATTCGGTATTTTGCTCCAAGTCATCAATCTTTGAAAAGTGTATTATCGTTTTCAGGTTTTGGTATATAAGCAAATGTTATCGTTGTTTGAAGAGTGTATTATCGTTTTCCAAGCCCCAGCTCAATTTCCAACAAATAAAGATGTCTCGAATACTACTCTCCATTAACCTAAATTTTGGCTGTAGCTCATATATATATATATAAACATGTATAATACCTGGAAGTGCACTTGCAGCAAATGGATATGTGACCATAGCACGGTTATATCCCAACAGTAATGCTGGCTGGATTGCAATGTAATTCACCAACCTGAAAGGAGCTATTTCCTTGTTGGGCCATTTGGGGATGATTCCCCTAATCCTAACCATCATTCCAATGACATCACAGTGAGGTCATTATAATTCATATATATATATTATATACACATACGTGTAGTAATCGAATGACATGGAATTTCAAACACATGCCCAATTTGATGAAAACCATGTTTGACATTTCCATTGTTTATCTTCTCAGGATGCATGTTAGATAAGTATGGATATTGATGGATATTGCATGTTATGAAGGAACAAACAAAAGCTTGGTGACTATGTACCATGCTTATCAACATTGTTAATGTAGTCATACTGTTCAAGATAGCCATATGGGACATGGTTTCCTTATTGTACTTGGATGAAGCATGCAGCACTGGCCATGTTTGATGACTTTGATCCAGACCCCAGATATTGAAACTGAGCTGCTTCGTGGTCGTTTTAAACCATCACAACCGTATCTGCCTTCAGGCCAAGTGAAATGAAGTGTTAAAAGCCAGCAACTTGGCCACCATTTTAATTCCCAATCTTAGATAGCCTGCATATGCCTGCATTTTTCCTTAGGCAAGAGATCAAACAACTCCAGTTGATCCAAATACCCTCCGGTCACCAAATATGGCTTGGTAAATCTTCCCATTATAACATATAAAAAATAACTTCCATGTATCATATTATCATGTACCATAAATGGTAATTTAACATAACTATTGAAAATTGCCCTTTATAGTTGATTTCCCATTTATAGATGGTTATAAATGGTCCATTTAGAGCTGATTTACCAATTCAAAATGGTGATTTTCCATAGTTTTTGTATGTTTACCAGAGGGTATGGTGAATTTTCCATTCAATTCTCATTAAGCCATATTAACTCTGGAATATCTACTGGAATATATTCCCATTAAGCCATATTAACTCTGGTGATATCTACCATAAGCCCCGGTTAACTTCAATCTCCAAGTCGAGCAGCATCCGTCCGTCCACGACTTTTCATGTTCAATTTATGAGTTGGAGATGATAAACAAATATTAGAAAGTTAACATTAGTATATATCTCCATGGTTAGAGATATTTCTGACTTCTATAGTACATATATATATAGAGTATACCACGATTAACATTAGTGGTCCGAAAAACTATTTGTGGTCCACTATGAAAGATATATTTTTGACAATTATACAACCATTATATATTAGTGAATATATAGCGAGTTAACAATAATTAGATAAGTATTAGTGTGTAGAAAATTCATTACTACTATCATTGTTACACCAAATTATATGTTCGAATAGTGTATACCATCAATATTGTATCTCAAGTTCTATCGTGGTTCTTGATGATTGCATGAACTAGTTGTTAAACAAGTTCCAATTATTTTTGCTCGCCATTGGTTACAATCACAGGAGCTGACATGAATTGCCCAGATATACAAAATGATCCATTCTTTTTGTCTGTTGTGGCGTCTACCTCTTGGACAGTTTTGTACCATGGCTTTCACTCCCCCTTTGGATCTATGTGGAACTAAGTCAAAACATGGTTATGAACATGGAAATTAAACCTCTCAGCAAGCGTTTTCCAAGCATAGAATCCCTTCACTTCAGGGTTACGATAAAAACTATCTGCTTCAACTGCTTCAACCTCCACGCTCTACGCACCATCCGTGTTTTCCACGCTGCTGTGTGCTGCTTTGCAGCCCACGGCATCAGGGATCATCCATAGGGGTGATACAAAAAAGATGTCCGGAGATTATCATGGAATGTTTCAGAATCTATCAACTTTGTAGACATTATATCATTATGCACTGAATTTAGTGTCTATTTGTGGCTTCGCACAGTAAAGATGTTAAACAAATTCAAACATTTTACCTTCAAAATTCGAAAAAAAAACATGCTTTTTTTGGGGACCAACATCAGAAAGATTGCTACTGTAAGTGTTTACATCCTATTTCAAATCGT